TATATGTGTGTGTGTGTGTGTGTGTGTGTGTGTGTGTTATTATATATATATATATATATATATATATACCGTGGGTGTCTGTGTGTGTATGTCTGACTGCGTGTGTGCCGTTGTGCTTTATCCGTTCACTTAACATTTAAACCAATTGCACACGCACACAGACCGCGTGGCCTGAGCAGCTACCACAATCTTTTCACTGAGAACGTTCACTGCGCCTGGGTACTTTTAAGTTCAGGGGGTCACTTGCCCTTCTACGAAGGACTAGTTTGGCCGTCGCGTTGGAACGATCATTGTGCACTCGAGTTTCTACTGGCAGCTGTGGCGAACATTCGTAGCCATCACAAGCGCTTTTAATAAGCGGGTGGGTATGGTCTGGTCTTGAAGCAGTTAGATCTGTGATGATAAATTATTTAGATGTTTAATATATAATTTTATGCGTATATTTGTACACACACACGCGCGCGCACACATACACACACCCACATATATATATGTATATATATATATATATATATATATATTTGTATATATTATATGCCAGGAATATGCTGAAGCTATAGTCTGCGCCTAAGTTTGGGTGGCGACGGTAGTGAATCTACAAGTCCATCACAAGCATCCGGAAGTGTGGATAGAAAGGTGTGCGAGAAAATGGAACAATGCGAGAGTAAGGCGGATTTCGGCCAATTCAGAAAATGAGAATTATATCCCAAAAAAGGGTATTTTGGCAGGCCCTGACGTGAGTGCAGGAGTGCGAGGAGAGATGGTGGGCCTGTTAAAAATCTAAGAACGCCTGATTACATTGGATGTATTTATAGAACATCTAGTTGCGATGGTCGTGTTTATAATACATCTGATTGCGATGGTTGGATTTATGCGACATCTGGTTGTGAAGGACGTCAGGAATGCGATCCAACAAAACGGGACGGCTGGGGTTGCTATTATTATTAAAACAATAGTAACAAGGCTGACCCGCACTGAAATCCTCTGACACCAAACTTTCCGTACGGACATACCTCGAAATACAGCCTTTGTATATACAGATCATATGTAGCTGGATCCTAACCGGGATGTTCTGGGAGTAGCGTTATTAAATACGCGACTCAGATGCCAAGTGATAGTGGGTATGTGTATATTGCACCAGGGCTCCTGCACCTTCCCCCATACCTCCTAGGGTTTCTCTGGGTTTAGGGTTGAGTGATTCGGAGGCCAAGCCTGGTGATTGCACGCGCACACCGCCGCAGCATGTGTACGGAGTGGAG